CTGCAACGCAGTGGGGAGTGGCTGTAGCTGAAACAGCAGGGGGTGGGAGTGTGAGGGGGTGCAGAAGACAGATGTCACCCTCTGTCTGCTCTGGTGGCCTGTGGGTGACAAAGCCACCATCCATGTCTGACTGGAGAGGCTGCAGGAAGGTAGCCAGAGTCTCCTGGGACAGCTAGGAGCCTGCAATGGCGGGTCTGCTCCCCAGGCCCTGCAGAGGGGGATCCCCTCAGCTCCTCCACCCTGGTAGGAGGGGTCCCTTGCCAGCTGGCTCAGCAGTCACCCCAGTTAAGAGCAAATTCTGTCCCTCCCCTTTGCGGGATCGAGTTCTATTGAGTGCTGTGTTGGGAGAAGCACCCCTTCCCCTCCACCAACATGGTCTCTGCGGGCCGCCTTGCACCTTCCCTTCTGGAGCTGGGAGCAACCGCCCAGTAAATCCCCCCCAGGAGGGTCGACAGCAGCTTCTGGGGGCTCTCTGGGCCCTCTGCCAGGTTGCAGGTGACTCAGGCGCTTGCGGTCTGTGGGCGGCTGGTTCCTGCTTCCCCCGCGGACCCCGGCCCTGCGGCCCTGCTCACCTCCGCGCGTCCAAGGGAGGAAGCGAGAACAGACGCCCTTCCCAGGCTGCTGGATCGGCCCACCTGGTGCTGGGTGCGCCTCACACTCGGGCCCCTCCTCCAAGGTCACCTTTGGGGCCGCCCTCCCTGATAATGTGTCCCTTTGTAGCCTTTGCACTGTGTTAATTTCCGCCACAATTGCCACCATCTGGCCTGGCCTCCTCAGGTGTGAGCGTCCTCCATCAGACAGGAACACCTGGGTGCCAGGGACCGGGTCCATCCTGTGTCCTGAGGCCTGCCCACCACCGGGTCCGGTTCAGGTGTTCCGGAATGACCTAGCAGCTAGATATAAATCCACCTGTCTCTATTTTTGCCAAGGAGGATGTGAGGCTCAGAGAGGGCCAGCTATCTGCCCGAGGTCACACAGCAGACAAGTGGCAATGACGAGACTTGAACTTGGTTCTACTGAATCACGACTTGAGGGCAGGCAGGTGGTGTGGAGGTTAAGGTGCTGTTTCCCGCATGGCTAGCTGCACAGTTTGCAACTCAGAGCCTACAGCTTGAAAAATGTTGCAGGATGGGACCAGCAGATGGGCATAATGGATGTATCACTGGACTACCTCCCACGTATTTGACCACGGTTTGAGTCTGAGGCCCAGTGGCTTAAACTTAGGCCAGGCATGCGTGTGTGCCCAAGATCCTGAGAGGAGAATGGAGAAGGGATTGCGGTATGGTCATTTCCCCCTAGGAGGGTGATGTCTCTCTGGAGAGTGCACACACCCTATAGCAAAAATCTCTCTAAAGAGAGAAAAAAGGAGGGAGGCTGGCAAATGGTGTGGTGGTTAAGAGTGTTGGACTCCCACATGGCCAACCGCGGTTCGAGTCCTGGACCTGGCGGCTTGCTTTCTCTCTTTCTCTAACTCTGTTTCTTTCAAATTAAAATAAATAAGTGAATACATAAAGTTAAATAAAATAATTCTTAAAAAGAAAACAGGAAAGAAAATCATGTAGTCTGGGACTAACAGGTGGCATGGTGGTTAAGGTGCTTGGACCTCCCACATGTCAGACCACTGTTCAAGTCCCAGACCTGGCAGCTTGCTTTCTTACTCTCTCTCTCATTCTTTCTTTCTCTCTCTGGTGACCGCACATGCCCTATAACAAATTTTAAAAAATAACAATAATAGAAATGTTTAGGACTAAGAAGGAAAGAAAATCACACTAGGCCCATGTGCGTGGGTGCCCCAAATCTTAAGAGGTGAATAGAAGAGAAGGGATGCAGGGTGACCATCCCTCTAAGGGGTGATTTCTCATTCTCTCTGTCTGTCTGTCTCTCTCTCGTGAGCTCATGAGCCCTATAGCAAAAACTAGAACCAAAAACAAAACAAAACTTGTTTCTTCCTGATGGTTGAGGAAGGAAAGATGAAACTGGAGCCACTGGTCCGCCAGCCGCTGGTTCTAAAGGGACCCCAGGCTCATTCACAGTGACGGCAGAACGACTTACTGGTGTGCACCAACTATGTGCCCCCCTTGCTGTGCCAAATCTTTTATTTATTTTTAGAATGATTTTACCCAACTTCATGTATTTATTTATTTTAATTTGACCAGAGAGGAACAGAGTGAGAGAAAGAAAGAAAGCTGCCCGATCTGGGACTCGAACCACTGTTGGCCATGTGGGAGTCCAGCGCCCTTAGCCACCACGCCACCTGCCGGCCCTTCTTTTATTTCTTTTTAGAATCGTATTTTGGTTTGTTTTGAAATTTGCCAGAGGACCCATGTACTCACCAGAGAGAGAGAGAGAGAGAATAACAAAATACCCTCCCCCATGGGATTGGTCACACCACAATCCTTTCTCTCTCTTTCCATCCTTTTGGGATTAGGGTACACACATGTGTCTCTCAAGCTATGGGCTCTAGTATTCAAACTGCACAGTTGATTTTGTGGGATTCAGCTGCCTTTACTTCCACACTGGCCCTAAATTAAAACATTATTTTTTTAAAATTAAGATTCTTGGGGTTAGCAGGTGGTTAGAGGTGCTGGATTCCCACATGGTTGACCGTGGTTTCAGCCCAGACCTGGCAGCTTGCTTTCTCGCTTTCCCTTTCTTTCTCTTTGTCTGTCTCTGATCGAATTAAAAATAATAGTAACAAATGGAATTAAACAAATATTTTTTTAAATTAAGGTTCTTTCCATAGGACGCATGTTGCTGGAGCGAGACAGAGAGACAAAGATAGGGAAAGTGAGAAATCACCCTCCCAGGGAGGACGGCCATGTCATAATTACTTCTCCTCCATTCTCCTCTCAGGATTTTTGGCATGCACATACACATATCGGGTGTACGTGCATGCCAAGTTGCCATGTCTATGACTCAAATTGGGCTGGCCATATAGGAGTCCAGTGCCTTGTGACCAGCAGTTAGTGTAATGGCTATGTCGCTGGACTCCCATGTAGTTGACTGTGGTTTGTGGGCCGGGCGCGTGTGTGTGCGTGCCCAAGATCCCAAGAGGAGAATGGAGGAGAAGGGATTGCGGCGTGGCCATCCCCCCTGGAAGGTGATTTCTCGCTTTCTGTCTCTCTGTCTCTCTCTCTGCGAGCGGAAGCGCACACAAAAAAAAAACCACAAAAAAAAAAAAAAAAAAAAAAAAGGAGTCCAATGTCTTAATGACTATGCCATCTGTTGGCCCCTAAAATTATGTTTTTTTTTGAGAGGTTTTTGCTATAGGGCACGTGCGCTCGCCAGACAGAGAGAGACAGAGAGACAGAAAGCGAGGAATCACCTTCCAGGGGGGATGGCCACGCCGACATCCCTTCTCCTCCATTCTCTTCTTGGGATCTTGGGCATGCAAACACATGCACCCGGAGTGAGTTTAAACCACCGGGTCCGGGACTTGAACCATGGCCGGCCATGTAGGAATCCAGCCACCTTAGCCACCACACCACCTGCTGGCCCCCAGAATCACATTTTATGTAGACTGGGACACAGTAGGTTCTCTTTCTAAAGAGCTCCAAGCAGTGGGCACTCCATATATTGAGTACTGACACATAGTAGGCCCTCTATGTAGAGTACCAAACACATAGTAAGTGCTTTTTAAAAACTGTTTGTTGTTGTTGTCATTTGCTATAGGGTGTGTGCACTAGCCAGAGAGAGAGACAGAGAGACAGAAAGCAAGAAATCACCCCCAGGGGGAATGGCCACGCCGCAATCCCTTCTCCTCCATTCTTCTCTTAGGACTTTGGGTATGCATGCACACACGCCTGGTGTGTTTTCCAGGCTGCTGGGTTCAAGACTTGATCTGTACAGTTGGCCATAGGAGAATCTAGCCACCTTAACCAACACACCACCTGCTGGCCCCACCATAGGCTCTGTATGTACAAGTCCCAGCACGTAGTCAGAACTTACATAGAGCTTTCACACATGGTGAGCACCCTTTATGCAGAGCTCCCAGCTCATGGAACACAGTAGGCACACTTTCTGTAGAGCCCTGACACACAGTAGGTGCTCTGTGTAATATAGTGCACTTGGCAGGAAGTAGATGCTTTCTATGTAGAGTGCCTGGCACACAGTAGGTGTGTGTTATGTAGAACACCGTGCACATATTAGGAGTATTTTTTTCATAAATATTTAATTTTATTTATTTACTCATTCATTTATTTTCATTTGATCAGAGAGAGAGAGAGGGAACACAAGACAGCAAGCCACCAGGTCCAGGACTCGAACTGTGGTTGGCCATGTGGGAGTGTCCAGCACCTTAATCACCACGCCACCTGCTGGTCCCCAACATATTAGGAGTATTTTATATATAGTCTTTGAAATGGAAGAGATGACTGGAAAATAGCAGCTTGAGTTCTAGTAACGGGCTCCTTCCTTTCATCCTCTCTTTTTGGGGCCCCTTCCCCTTGGGGTGTCCTCCTCTGTCCCCCTCTAAGGCTGTCATCTGATGTCCCATTTCCCAACTAGGAAGACTGAGCCCAGGAGGACCAGGACTGTCCACAGGCAGAAAGAGGACTCACTCAGGGTCACCTGACTCTGCCCTCCCCTGCCTGCACCCCATCCACCTGTCGCCCACTCAACCTTATCCCATGGCTGACCTTTGACCCTCTAGGTGAGTTCTTCCAATTGAGCTCTTTATTACTGGAATATGACCCAGATAATCCCCAGCAGGGCTGGATTTCTTGTTCCTGATCTCGCCGTCATGTGTCCAAAAGGGCCATGGGTTGTGTGAACTCCTTACTGGCTGTCAAGCTGGGGGCCGGCAGCTTCTATCTCTGAGTCTCCTAACTCTTTTTATTTTTCTTAAAGAATTACTTATTTCATTTCATTCATTCATTCATTTATTTTAATTTGACCAGAGAGAGACAGAGAGCGAGAGAGAAAGTGAAAAAGCAAGCCACCTGGTCTGGGATTAGAACCATGGTCGAACACGTGGGAGTGTCCAGTATGTTAGCCACCATGCCACCTGCTGGTCCCTCTCCTAGCTCTTTTTCCCACCCCCATAGGGCATGTGTGCTCACTGGAGAGACACAGAAAGAAGGAAAGTAAGAACTTGCCCCCAAGAAGGGATGGCCATGGCAAAATTCCTTCTCCTCTATTCTCAGAATTTTGAGTATGCCTGCTCATGCGCCTGGAGTGACTTTCTTTTCATTTAAAAAAATATTAATTTAATTTGTTACTATTATTTATTTGCTATAGGGTGCACGTGCACATCAGAGAGACAGAGAGGGAGGCAGAGAGAGAAGGAAATGAGAAAGCAAGCCACTGGGTCTGGGACACAAATTGCAGTTGGCCATGTGGGAGTCCAGTGCCACAACCACCACACCACCTGCCAACCCTGGAGTGATTTTCAAGCCACTGGGTCGAAGACTTGAACCATGGTCAACCATGTGAGAATTTAGCACCTTAACCACCATGCCAACTCCTGGCCCCATACCAAGAGGATCTTTTTATTTCTTTTTTTAAAAGAATTATTTAGGGGAACCAGCAGATGGAGTAATGGTTACATCACTAGACTCCCACCTAGTCGACCATGGTTCTAGTCTCTGGTGGTGGAAAACTCTCACCGGGCGCATGTGTGTGCATGCCCAAAATCCTGAGAGGAGAAGGAAGAAGGGATTGTGGCATGGCCATCCCCCTGGGGGGGTGATTTTTCACTTTCTTCTAGCTCTGTCTGTCTTTGGTGAGTACACACGCCTTATAGCAAAAATCTCTCTATAGAAAAAAGAATGAGGGGGGCCAGCAGGTGTCATGGTGGTTAAGGGCGCTGAACTCCCACATGACCGACTATGGTTCTAGTCCCAGGCCTGGCAGCTTGGTTTCTCACTTTCTCTTTCTCTCTCCTCTCTCACTCCATCCTTCTCTGGTCAACTGGTCAAATTAAAATAAACAAAGATAAATAAAATAATTCTTTAAAAAAAAAAAAAAAGAATGAGGGGTTAATCTTCTGGATGTTGCATAGGATGTTATTTGACTTGTGAATGGCTAATTATTTGGTGCTTTAATTGTTGTGGAGTAGGCTGGGTGTGGTCTTTTCTTCAAATGAGGA